AAAATATAATTCATTTTGAATACTGTTTCTATTATATCTGATTTATCATTTATTCGATCACATTTTTCCCAGTTTCCAAATTTAATTATACATTTAGAAAAACAAAATTTTACCTTGATGATCAAATAAATATAATTGTAACAGTAAGATATAGATTTAGGAAAATCAAGAATTAAAAAGGACAAAATGTCTATTGAAAAATTCAATATATTTTTATCGTTATTTATTATAATTATTATTATACGAAATCTGACACAAACAGTGCCCGATAACAAGTGTTGGGATTTAGAACGATGTTTTCAAAACAGAAGACATACTTTTATTGAAAAACAACTGAGATATATACATGATAAAAATTTTAATCATATATTGTAAATCAGTTTAAATTTTATATTTTTATATAATACTTAATAGTTAATGTCAATTAATCTACGAGAGACGTCCGAAAAGTAAGGTGCAAAGTACCACTCACAGTCACAGGGAATTTTTTTTTGCGAACTTTGGCACTATTTCCATTTATGGTGGAATGTAACGGAAAAATCATAACCAAAACCATTTCAGAAATCTCGATCTATGAGAGGTTTTCACGATGTGTGAGTCTTCGCACGTTCCCGTCACTTATATTACTGATTTTACAAAGTGTGAAGTAAGTAATGTGATCAATATTTTCTTCCAAGATGGAATAATTCACTCCGAAATCCATCGTCGACTTGTCCAGGAATATGGACCAGAGGTCATGAACCGCCAAAATGTCACCAAATAGGTATAAGCATTTCGAAAAGGAAGTATGTGCTTAAAGAGAATGCATCATTGCATTGATTTTCTCTTGGTTTCTAACATCAAATAGGAAATCTAAGTTTAATCCCATGTCACTAAATTTTCCAAAAATTCCTCTCCCGGTTGGTCCTAACGTTCCATAAACAATATTCCCGGCTCATGATTGATTTTTTTCATTTGTATTCATCCATAAGGAGATTTGGTAACAGTTTCCTGTAATCAAGTCGATTCGAAGCGACTTCGAGCAAAACAGATTGTGAAACACCTGGATACTTCTGAAGAAGTTCATTAGTTTCCGTAGTTCACCTCTGGTCTATTACCTGAAAAATTTGATAATGGATTTCAGTGGGAATGACTCGTTCTTGGACGAGAAAACGGATCATACTTCTCACTTCAGACTTTATATAATCAGTGATTTGGTTGGAGGAAGCACGTGATAACTCACTCATCGTTGTTTTCGATCCCCCTTTTCCTCACCATGCTATCAATTTGCGTGATAAGGCTGTGCTATCAGCACAAATCACGACAGCATGGATCATCGTGGTCGTGTTCGTGATCAGAGTGGCAAATTAAAATGATATCTTGTATGGGGCAAAACCCATTCGACCATTCGACCAATGTATTTGTAGAAAATCTATTTTAACAAAAAATTAGATAGTCAATCATCTATGGTCATCCATGCCAGGAACGCCGGAATCGGGGGGACAAGAGGGACAGGTGTCCATCCGAATTTTTCGTGGAGGGGCAAAGAGTATGTTTCGCCCCTCCAAATACAGATACGAACAGTGACGCTGATCTATATTTCATGTTATGGGGAGAAATTGCTGGTGTTAGACCCACTCACCCACCCTCTAAAAAAATGTTGAGTAATTGAATAGTAATTTATTTAAAATATTTATTTCCGAATATAAACAGATAATACAACTTGAATAAATTAGTATTATTTATAAAATAAAAATATAATGTTAAGACATAAATGTATACTTAAACTATACTAAAGTAGATTAATAAATAAATAACAATAGTAATAATAATAGATATATTGGATGATTGATTTTACGTAGAATTTTCATTATTTCGCAGTTATGGCTCTTTTCAAAATAATTCTTTTACATTATTTTAAGTCAATATAAAACAACATTTTCTAAAAAAAAATTTTAATTATTTTTATCATTGTCATTTTAAAGGTTTTTACTTTTTTTTTATGACAATGTTAATTTTTCATGGAATATTCCGTAAAAAAAGTGAAAACTTAACAAAATACAATAATAAAAAAAATTAATCATAGAACAATGTTGTTTTATATTGATTTAAAATTATGTAAAAAAAATATTTTTAAAAAAGTCATTGCTTTACAAAATAATGAGTGTTCTACGTAAAATCAATCACTCTGTATATAATAAATTAATAAATATTAGTTGACTGCTGTTGTTTGGAAATGTATTTATTACACTTTCTTTGTTAATTGTTATATCTAGTTCACGAGCTATGTGCATCAATTCTTCTAATCGTGCCTCTACCATTGTGGATCGCAATTTTGTCTTAATTAATTTTAATTTTGAAAAATTTTGTTCTGTAAAAGCACTTGAAACTGACAATGTTACTCCAATTTTAATTAAAATATAAATATTTGGTAGTACATCTGGTAGTATATCTTTTATGCTTGAACACATAAACAATAGAAATATATATAATAGTGAACTAATAGATGGAGTTGCTAGGTAAACTAATAGCTTCTTTTTCTTCTTCCCCAGAATCCGAATTAACATTAAGCTCAACATATACGGGCCACTTTACAACCACACCACAACCATAAAGCGGTGGTCGTTCGTGGGTGATATATTAATTACATGTAAAATAATATGAAAAACGCAGTCGAATACAGAAGGACCACTTTCGAACCACTATACGACGGCAGTTGCATCGTGTCGCCGGTATCAACCATAAAATCGTGGCCCGTCGGTGGTTGAGCACAACACACCAGCCACTTTCAAACTACTTGTCACCAACATGATTTTATCAGTGTATATATATATACAGTAGTCACTCGATGATTCGAACTTCGATAATTCGAAAAACTCCATAAATCGAACTAAACGATAAGTCCCATGAGAAAACCTCTATAATTAGAAAAAAATACATGTATTCCGGTCCTCTCGATAATTCGAAATGTCTGTCGGTGAGGCACACTCTACAATTCGATTTTTTTTTTCACGAATCTCTATAATTCGAATTTCACACAGTAATATTCCTCATCTTGAAAATATAAAAATTAATTTTTTACCTCCCAACACTACATCAACTCTCCAACAACTAGACCAAGGAATAATAAAAAAATTTAAAATGATGTATCGAAAGGAAATTGTTCGAGAAGTGTTAGCGTGCATGGGTGATTTTCCATGTAAAATTTCTATACTCACTGCTATGGAAATAGTACACAAAGCATGGGAAAATGTTAGTGCACAAACCATCGTGAATTGCTTCAGAACTTGTGGTTTTATTAAGGATGGACAGAAAATTGGTGAAGGTATTCCTGTTCAAAGTGAGAAGGTTGAAGTTCTACTTAGCACATGGAACAGACTAGAAGTTCCCGTATCATTTGAAGAATTTGTTCACTTTGACGATAATGTCGCAACTGCTGGTACTTTTACTGACGAGGAAATTATTCAATCCACTTCAGTCAATCAGCACAATTCTGACAATGATGACGAGGAAGAGGAGGCGGAGGTTCCTGTCATATCGTTAAAAGAAGCAAAATTTTTTATGTCAGGATTATGTCAATTTTTTGAACAATCTGAAATGGACGAAAAAAGATGCGATACAATTTTCAATGCTATTATTAAGTTAGACAATACTATGGACCAGATTGCGACCAACAATTTTTCACAAAAAAAAATAACAGATTTCTTTAATATGTAATATGTATATAAAATATAATACTATGTATGTGTAATAAATAAATATCAATTAATAATTTTAAAATGTACATAATTATATTTATAATAAGTTAATGTCAAAATAAACGTTATATATATATATATATATATGTATATACAATGTATTTTATTTATTAATTTTTTTCCTTCGATTATTCGAACACTCGGTAAATCGAAAACCTCTATAAATCGAATTTTTAACTCGGTTCTCTGAATTTCGAATTATCGAGTGACTACTGTATATATATATAATCATAAGATATTAGATCAGTCTTATGAAGATGTTCAGGCAAATGATATGTTTTTTCCAAATCAGAAAAACCGTTTATAAGCCACATAAATTCAGCTTTTAATAATTCTGCATTTAAAAAGTTCGGATAAATTAAAGATATACCTTAAAATGTATCATTTAGCATTTTATGATTATTAGTTTTTATTATTAAAATTCTTTTTTTTTTGTTATAAGTGATAGATCTTTAAACACTGATAATGATGATTTACTGAATTCCTTGTCAATCTCATTACATATAATATCAATTACTATATAGAATGTGTGGTACTTAAATTTATTAAGAGGATCAGTGGTCGGCTCATTTAATGTTTGTTCATCCGGCACACGTTTTCTCTTTCTGTGACATTTTTGCGATCAAGGAGTAAAGGTGAAATTTTCTTCGCTGTGAACCTCAATAAATTTTTTTACCGCCAAAACAATTGAATCAAATTCATCTCAAAGTTTCAATAACTGTTTTTTCTTAGATATAATCATTTCTGACGCTATGATAAGATCTGTATCTATAGCTTGAAGTATTTTACTTAATGTATCTAATAAACCAAATATTCTTTTAAATACAAAACAAGTGTACAAAAATCGTTCAGTCTGAAAATAATCAATAAATGTTGATGCGTCAGATGAAGATTCATATTTATGTAGATCTTCAAGTGTATCAATTAAGGCTTCCCATGTGATTAAGATTCACTTTTAATTCTTTAAATATTAATTGTACAAACACTCAAATTCAAGATTCACATTTAGCAGAAAAATAATATAATCTATAAAATTATTAATTTCAAAAACAAATTTAGCACATGAAAGCACTAACAGAGGATTAAACATAACTGAGTTCAATGAATTATTCAAAACCTATAATTTGCTGTTATGTGCTCATAATACTGAGACATATTGAATATACACACACATATATATTGCATTAATGGTTTAATGTTTAAAAATCAATGGTTTAAGTTCAAAATATCATCAGTATGATTTAAACAAAACCAGTTACTAACCATTATCAGTTGTTGTAGAATGTATTGGTGCTTCGGCTTCTTTATCCATCAGTATTTCTTCAGAATAGTTGGCAGGATCATTTGAAATTAATTGATAATCTATAATATACAAAAATATATAGGTATGATATTTTATACTAAAACTAAAGATAAATTAGACTGAAAATAGGCAAGTTCTAGGACCAAATTAATTTAAGTTAGTTCAGTTAAGTCAACGTTAATAGTTAACAAACAATATGTTTTACTCTAAAAGTTTAGTTGTCATGGAAAAAATGATGAACTTAACTTTATTAAAAATAAGTTAACTTATTTGATTTAATTACTATCTGGGCAGCATATAGCGATAATGCCACGTATAATATTTTTTTAAATAATATCTTAATATTTTGTTAAAAATGCATTTTATCTTATTCTTTCTTATTACACATCTATGTATAAAATATAAAAATTATTTTAACTTCACACATTGCCATATCAATTGGATAAATCAAATTAATTACTATGGAATCTATTTACTATTTATAAACTAATTTCGTTGTTAAAATTCAAGCTTATTAGAAAATTGTTGCGGACATACATGAATGTAGGTCCTTACGACTCTTACAGTACGGGCGGGTCCACATAAATTATAAATATTAGAGATCGCAGAATGATTGTGAGTAATCTAGTATTCGCAATAATAATAGAAAGGAACTATTAGTTTAAACGGAGGGTAAAGCAAACACATATTACGAAGACAGGTAATATGTAATAAATATTAAGACTCATACGACATGGACGGGACCATGTAAATCGTAATGGTAGATATCAAGAAAATGATTATTATTAACACAATATTCACAGTCGTAAAAATAGAAATGAATTTTAGTTAAAAGCCAGAAGATAAACCAGTACATTTATTATATGTGGATCGCATGGTTATATGTAGGATTGTAACTGGGAAAAATCGTGGCAAATATGGAATAAGTGCGAATAAGGTCATCTAGGTAATAAATAGCGGGTTAGAGACAAATTATTTATTATAGTTGAAAACAACTATCGCCCAGCGCGGCACGTTTGATCTTCACCAAACCTAAGTATATAAGGGGGTTGGGAACAGACCAATATTCAGATGTGGTTTACATGTACAGTCGCAAGCACCTTCACGCCACATTATTTCTTATATTAATGTTATTTTTATATGCTAAATAAACAGTTAAAATTTCAATTGAGTGTTTTATTGAAGTCTATCCTTTAAAAACTTAACCATCATATACGATTGAGCGACGGCACGCAACAAAATAAACTAACTAGTCAACTTGAAAAATTAAAAAAAATAATGGACATTTTGAAATACACACAGTAGGTACTGAGTACACACATAATACATTGACATTTAAAAAATTCAATTACTTGCTATCTATGGTGATGGTTCAAATACAAAATATGTTAGTTTGATTATAAACAAAAAAACCAGTTTATTAACCGTAATCAATCATTGGAGATGGCTTTGGTGTTTTGCTTTTTTCATCCATCAATATATTTTCAACATTACTTTTGTTGTTATCAAAACTGTCCAATTCTACTAGTTTATCTGAAGGAATAATTTGTATACTTATTATTAAATAAGCTACCTATATAATTAGTATAATATAACAACCTGAATCAAAATGATTTGTGCTCAATTCAGATAAAGCAACATACATCTGACTTAAATTAACACTAGGACTGATTATAGCTTTAGTTGAATTTTAACACGGAAATTAAGTGGAAGTTCATTAGCCCAAGTTACATACATATTGTTATATACTTTATTATAGCTTATCTTATAACTTATAGAGACAATACTATGTATATAACAATATGTATGTAACTTGGGCTAATGAACTTCCACTTAATTTCCGTGTTTAAAATATTATCGGATACTATCGTTGTTATGAGAAAAGAGAATGAGATCATTATCGTTACGGATTTAGTTCACCGCGTAGACATAGAACATTCTATTTATTTATCTGAAACCTAAAAAAAAAAAGAAATTCATGGGATAATTGATAATTTATTGAACCTATCATGGATTCGTGGAGAAACATAGTTCATAATTGTACCCACATTTACAAAAATAGCGGTGCCGTCAGACGTCAATGCAACATTTCGATTACTGAGTATAAAACACTACATCAATTAATCTATTTTAGTCAAATTTATGTTATTACTTATTGTACTCGGTGCGCACTGAATACAAATAATACGTTAAATTGAAAACGATTTAAATATAACTTTGACTGTATGATTATAAACATGGTCTACAATATATTCGAACCAACTAGCATCTGACTACACGCGACAGTGAATAAAAATAATAAAATTATTAAACAATTAAGTTGATAACTATAATATTGTTATAACTTATAATATTAGTTATTTATTTATTACTTAATATAGTAATCAAACATGAATAATAAAAGAAAAAATAATACTCTACTTTCATATTTCAATAAAAGTATAAAGTCAACTGTCGATTCAGATCCAAATAATTCACAACCTGCACAAAGTCAACAAAAACATACAGACACAGTAAATTTGGTGAGTAAAAAAATTGTATGCTTGACTATTTGACTTATCTAAGTCTTTAAGTCTCCTATTTATGGGTTTCTAATGTTTCTATAAACAATATTATGTTATAATTTTTTTTAAGACAACATGTCCATTAGCAAGGGAAAATGATATTGGTTTGTTTGTTAATTGTGATTTGAGTGATACTGATAAAAACCTAGTAAGTTATTTAATTATATACAAATAGTATTGTACTATGATATTTAAATGAATCATTTTTTTAAATTTACAAAATTATAAAATATATTTGTTTATAGATTCTGACAGATGTGTGGGTTCCATCAGAAACTTATATATTTCCTATAATAGAGAAAAATAAAGGTAGGAATCTCAAATTTCAACACCATTGGTTGAAAATGTTCAAGTGGTTAGCATATTCAGAGATAAGGCAAGGAGGTTTTTGTAAAGTATGTTTGATTTTTTCAAGAACTGGTGGATTTGGATGTCAAAAATTATATACACTTGTAATTAAACCAATGGATAGCTTTAAAAAAGCATTAGAAGTATGTCTATAAAGTTATGATCACACATTTTAAATTTTTTAATATTATTATAAATATTTAATATGAATGTTTTATTTATTATATTAGACTTTAAATAATTATGCTAAACATTAATATCATAAACTATCTCTAAAAAAAGCTGATTATTTTTTGAATATTGCATCTTCAAAGGAACCTGAGATTATAAACAAATTAAACATAGACAGGTAGATTTAAATATTTTTTAATATTCTATTTTTATTATAAAGTTGTATTATTTTTTTATTACAAATTTAGTTTATGTTTAGTTTTAAAATATTAATGATTATAAATGAACCTACATTTGTATAATTTCAGAGCAAAAAAAGTTAAAGAAAACCGAGAGAATTTAATTCCTATTATTGATTGTATTTTGGTATGTGGTTAAAAAATTATAAAATAGTAAAAAAAATTTGAGAGGATGGGAGATTTTTCCATCCCATTTAGTTTTCTTTTTTTGATCCCCCCCCCCCTTTCAGAAATTATGTCTACGCTACTGCTGAGTGATATATAGTGAAATATTGTACTAATTTTAAAGTTAAAATAAATATATTAAAAGCGCAAAATAAAAACACTTGTGAACACTAAAAATAAGGATAAAAACTTAAATAAAATGTACATACTGGGTTTTTTAACTGCACTCGAAGACTGTGAAGAGGCCTCTACATTGACCATCATCATATCATTTTGTTGAACAGCTTAAAAATTTAAAATAAATATTATTTTATTTGTATAAAAATATTAAGGAATTCATATTTTTTAGTTAACTAAAGTGTACTAACAGATAGAGAATTTATTTATTTAAAAAAAAAATAATTATCCAAATTAATTTTTTGTCTTTTATTTTTTTTTTTTGACATGATTCCACGTGTCTTATTCAATTAGTATCATTCTCATAATTTTGATCACGTCAACAAAACTCACACGTCAAACTCATAATTAATAAACTAATATATTTATATATTATTATTAGAAAAATAACACAAAATCATACACAAAATAACGAAAAATAACAGACATAAGAAATTGTGAATCAAGAACATGAGTAAAGTAAATATACTTTTCAAGTTTTTACCATACTAGTATGTAAGGCTCCAAATGACCAAACAAATTATTTGTCTCGTTAATCGTTTCATTATGTTTATCACAAAATGGTTTCTCACATAGAGTATGGACTGTGATATTAAATATTAATATAATATTATAATCATTAATCCGTATTATTATTATAGGCCATGGATTGGATTGCGATTTATTTTCTAAAAATAGCCGCTGCTGCAGTAATTATTACTCAACGACAGAACGCCCCACCACACCATACGTTATGACGTTATGATATGGCGGCTGTCTGTCGGTGTCAGATCCTTATCATTTTTCTGACAACTGCATCAAGTGCACTTGATAGCCCCTACCCTGCTAATTTTATTAACTGAGTCTTGCTTACCTATTGTCTACTTCTCTGGATACTATTAGTAACTGTAACTTAGTATTTAATATTTAAACAGACACAATCGATATAACATAATACACATATAATATAATTTGACAATACTGAACATTGATATCTATAAGTAACATACTGCTTATAAATTTTGGATCTTTTGATAATTCACCTAACATTTTTTTTTTCAATAGCTAAAGTAGACAAAGACGAAAGCCTATTATTTATCATTGAATTTCTTAAAAAGGATTTGATATGTTTTAAAGTACTCATGGATTTTTCACTTGAGGCTATTGTTGCAGGAATAGTTAATACTAATTGAATAAGTGAAACTTAAAAGGTAAAAGACCAATGCCATATTTATCATTAGAATATAAAGAAGCAAAAACTTTAAGAAAATTTCAATTGTCTTGGTGTTCAAAATTTAACTGGTTAGCGGGAAGCATTGAAAGAAAGAAATTATACTGTTACATATGTCTTGTTCAGAGGAGAGGATGAGTGGAGTATAAATGGTATTCCTAATATTAAAAACTTAATTCGTAAAAGCTGAAAAACACCAAATTTCAAAAAAACACCTAATAAAGAAAGTTTTCATATGCTGGGTAAAAATAGGATTGAACATTCTCAATATCTGAGAGTCGTCGGTTAACTGCAATTAATCATAATAAACAAGTGAACATAAACAGAAAGATATTAGCTCGTTTAATCGATGTAGTTTGTTTTTTAGGGAAACAAGAATTGGCATTCCGCGGACATCTCGAGAGTGAAGGTTCTTTAAATAAAGGAAATTATTGTGAAATTTTAGATTTACTTGTTAAAGAAGAGCAATTTATACGAGTAAGAGAAAACTTTTTGACAAATTCTGTTTTTAAAGAACTTCACACGATATATAAAATGACTTGATCCATTGCGTAACTACGGTATTAAATTCTCATATTTTAAAAGAACTTCAAATTACAAATTTTATATCAATACAAGCTGATGAAACTATGGATGTATTATGTCAATCTCAAATGAGTTTAATTTTTCGTTATATAATTGACAATAAGATCGAAGAAAGATTTATAGGATTTTTTGATGTTTCCAAAAATAAGACTGCGGCTGGCTTATCCGAAGTTATTTTAAATGAACTTTCTCAGTGGAATATTGGTGAAAAAGTTGTGTGTCAAACATATGATGGTGCTTCTGTTATGACGGATGAAAAAAATGGGGTGCAGTCAATTATACAAAATATTTATCCAATGGCTATTTTTATACATTGTTATGCTCATCAATTGAATTTAGTTCTACTTCATGGAGCAAAAACAATATAAGATGTTAAATTATTCATAACAAACCTTACTATGTTCACATTTTTTAGTAGATCTTCTAAAAGAAGTGTTTTATTAAGAAAGCAAGGATTTAAATTAACAAATCAATGCAATACACGTTGGAATTATCATTCAAGAGCTGCTGTAACTATAAAAACTCATTTCAATTAACAAAAAATGCCGTATCTCATGTAGTTGATGACCCTGGCTGGGATTCTGCTTCTGTTTGTACTACATCTGGTATATTGAGTAATATGAACAATCGAAAATTTGTTTACTTATTGGTACTTTTTAGTAAAATATTTATATTTAATGATCACACATTTTGTATTCTACAAAATAAATCAACTACTGATAGTAAATATTGCGTTAACGAAATTAAAAGTTTTACTTCACTGTTAAAAGATTTGAAAAATGAAATTTCCATACACGATATCATAAAATGTTCCGTTTAATTAAATAAAGATTTAAAGTATACAAATGAGGAAAAAGCTAATTTACGTCGATTATTGATTCATTAATTGTTAAAATAAATATTTGATTTAAAGATTTTGAAAAACTAGAGTTTGCTGAAATGATAAATGAAGAAATGTTTGCATCATATAAAGTTAAATTTCCAGAAGAAAAATTAAAACAACTTTTTAAATACTATCCAGATATTTTTAATAAAGATCGTCTAAAAAATGAGCTTTACATAACATATATATGCAGATCCATTGAAATATTTCGCTCTTTTAGAATTTATTGACTATATATTTAAAAGTAAGAACCTGAAACATTTCTTAAATATTGTAACAAAATTTTGAAATAAATTATAATTATATAAATTATTTTAGATAGGCTTCAAGAAGTATATCAAGAAGTCACGAAACTTATTCAATTAGTATTAACTATTCCTGCAACAATAGCCTCAAGTGAAAGATCCATGAGTACTTTAAAACGTATCAAATCCTTTTTAAGAAATTCAATGATAAATGATAGGCTTTCGTCTTTGTCTACTTTAGCTATTGAAAAAAAAATGTTAGGTGAATTATCAAAAGATCCAACATTTATAAACAGTGTAATAGATGTGTTCGCAACAAACCAAAATCGGCGAATTGATTTAAATTATATTCAAATCTAGTTATTTTATGTAATTTACTTTTTTTATGACGATCTAATTTTTAAATAAATTTTATATAACACCATATATTTGGTTGTCTTATTGTCTACCATATAAAATTGTTCACGCGCCGCCATTGTTAATTAGTATAAAAGTAGTGGTTGATTAGAGGCTACACTCAGTTTGCCCCCCTCCCAAAATATGTTATGTTCCGGTGTCCCTGATCCACGCAGTAGTCATAATACTGGAAATAATTAATATATTAACATATTTAATACGTACAACGCCACGCCACTCTGATTACGGAGGTCATACCGCGACGCTCCTTTGAAAATGTCATGTCGTGTCTATGGCATTAGAAGCACAACTCTATTGATTTATAAAATTGTATAACATTTTATTACTAGGTTTTACAATTTTTTAGATCCATGGTAGCCTTTATCTAAATTAAATAATTGTACTAATACTAGTTACTAGATATTAGTAGGTACATAATAAGTAATAGTTAAACCGACATCAAATAACACAAAAGTTATTATTATTATTATCGTCCGTCTCGTGCGTAAAACAAAATAAAATGAATAAAACAGAAACAACAAATGAATAATACCTGTACATGAAGTCCAAACTAGTATAAAAGAAGTCATATACATGATATAATATGTTATAAATAATTCTAAAAGTGTATATTGTAATGTAATTTAATGTTTTTATTTTAATGTTACAAAAACTAAAACCGACGATTTAATCTAGAGTTGATTGCCTGACCTATATAAGGTTCAGAGTTTAATAAAATTTAAATAACTGATTTATTATAAATTAGTGAATAATTATAGCAGATTTAAACTTATACGTATCTGACATGTAAATTTTAATTTTTAATTTAGGTATTAAATTAGTATATATTTTGTAAATAATGAATAATATTTCGTTAAAAAATCTAAATATTTTATTTTTATTTATGACACATTTATTTCTTACAATAAATCATCTTTTCATGCATTTTTATATTTATTTATTTTTTATTTTTATATTTTTATATTTTTCAATTACTTTGCAAATATTTACTCGTCATCGCTTGCACGAAATTCCTTAACCACAAGAACCACTGAAATATCTAATTAATGGCTCTAATAATAGTTCTTACGTTTTTCTTGATAATGTAGGTACAGCAATGCAAATTAATTATTTCAAATAATTTCAATGATAACAAGTGACTATTCATTCGTATTCAAGCACATTCAATTTCCCAGCAAACTATGTTTTGCGATGACCATTAACAAATCGCAAGACATGTTCTTAACTAAAATATAGAAAACATAGTCTTCTAATTAAGTTTATTTTTTTCATAAATTAAGTTAACTTTATTTTAATCTATAAAGTATAAAAAGTCTAGCTATTGTATTAATCTCATAAGTGTAAGATATTTTTTATTTATGTTTTTTTCTCAAATATTTTTATTAATTATCTTATTATAATTTAATTATTATATAATATCTAATTTATTTACAATATATATAACAATATTGTAATTTTGAAATAAAAGTTTTTTAGTACTGCCGATAAATTTATGGTATTTTCTTACTATTGTTATTCTTTTTTCTTTCATTAAAAATATCTCCAGAAATAATTCTTAAAGACAAAACTCAAGCGAATTTGAATGGAATAGCTATCATGCAAATTTCAAAACATAAAAAGAGATGTACAATTAGGTTGTCTTTTTTCTCTATTCTATGACTTTAAAGATAGGCTCACAAAGAAATTTATTTTTGGCTAATGGTAATTTGAATATTTGTTTGTTTGTTAGGGTTGCAGAAAATGTTAGCGTTGGCCAGAGAATTTTCAA